TTACGTTTTCTCGTGAGATCAGGCTGACAATAAACGGGAATGAGAACTTGACAATAATGGCAGTAAGTAACTATCCACTTGTTAAGTGTGACGTCACGCGAAGCGGCTTCCGGGTCCAAGCGCTCTGTTCAACTGAATGGGGAAACTCATGAAATGGTAATAATAAACGTTTACAAAGCGATTTAATGCTTTCGAAAATCACGATCGCAATATATATGTCCATGCCTAATATCCGATGGCCAGAAAGTGATACATTTTTTTATAAATTGTAAAATCTTGGTATTTGTTATGCAGCAAGCCCAGAGATTGTTGTGTACATTACGATTTTAAATAAAATTAACTTTAATGTGTGATAGGAATAAAACATGATCATAAACAAGTGATTTCTCCACTCCAATGAATGGCGGCTTGGACCCGGAAACAGTATTACATACGTCACAAACACGTCACCACTTAACAAGCGGATAGCCATGAATGTGCACTTTGTGCCTCCTACTGGCATGCATACTATACATAAATATATATATATATATATATATATATATATATATATATATATATATATTTTTTTTTTTTTTTTCAAAAAAGTATAAATAATATCAACTTAAGTGCATCCAATGAGAAAAATATATATACCAACAAAATAAGGTAAATGTTACCTTTTCACAAAAACTACAATTGCACAATCACACAATACACTCTACTTTGGACTTGAAAAGAAAAAGAATCAATTTGCTGGAACAAGGACTCGGTCTATGTTTGACAATAAAACATGATCTTGTATATGTTTCCTAAATGGGTCCCAAATTTTCTTAAACTGGTTTGATAAACCTCAGATCAGTGGTGTCTGAACTCGGTCCAGGGCTGTGGTGTCCTGCATATTTTAGTTCCAACCCCAATTAAACACACCTGAACCAGCTAATTAAGTTCTTTGTAGGTATACTAGACTTCCAGGCAGGCGTGTTGGAGGAAGTTGGAGCTAAACTATGCGCCAGACCTGCGCCAGACAGTCTAATTTTTTCCAACATCACGGATCACGGATCTACTGTGTTGATGTTTGATGTTTCTGATCCTTCCACCTAAGCAATATTAGTCGATTGGCTTGGAGCACAATAAAGGCTATGCAATCAGATTGTATTTTTGGAAGATTATATGATGGGGGCAAAATTCAAAAAATGGCAATCAGTAGGCAAGGGGAGATAGATATAACCCCAAAAAACAGATATACTTTTAAAAATTGTGTCCCAACAGCAATTAAGCTTCATATTACATTCATTTCTGACTACGCAAAATAAATATCTTTTGTTTCTGATTGGAAGAAACGTGTATGCCACTGTAACACAACAAGTTATCTTTTACATAAACAGCATGCAATCTTGAATTACACTGATTCTTGTCGAACCCCATCGAATGATTTCATTGCATGTTCAAACGAAGGCCTAAAAGCAAAAGAATTAGCGGCATGCTAAATTAAAATGATCAAGACGTGCATAGGAAACGAGCATCATGACGGAGAGGTGAAATCAATGACATCATCAAAGACATTCCTGCGTTACGTCCTGCATAATGAGACGGGCGGGAAAATGTGCATATTGTGGTAGAATAATGACTGCTTTTTCTGTTCATTTTAAAACAGAAAGTTCATAATGAATTACCGCGCTCGGGAAGAAGTCTCACCTCTGATTATTCACTGTGGAAACGGTTGTGTTTTCTCAGCATCGCCTGCTGCTTTCTCAGTGCATATTTGAGCTGAGAAAACACATTTTCTTTGTTTCCAAGGAGACACGGATGAGGGGAAAAATGAAGAACTATTTGTCTGCTGTCAAAGAAACCACAGCGTCTTCAGAACGGAGAGAAACGACCGTGTGTGCAATTTAGATCCCAGATAAACGATGTAGGAGAGATGTAAAAAACGTTTAGCCTTTTGAAACCTTCCTTTAAATATCATTCACAAATTACTTGTGCAGCGACATGGCTGCTTAGTGGTTAGCACTGCCACCTCACAGCAAGAAGGTCGCTGGTTCGAGTCCCGGCTAGGTCTGTTGGCGTGGGTATAGGGGAATTGATGAACTAAATGGGCCTGAGTGTATGAGTGTGACTGAGAGTGTATGGATGTTTCCCAGTGCTGGGTTGCAGCTGGAAGGGTATCCGCTGTGTAATGCCTCAGACTTGCAGCTGATATATATATATATATATATATATATATATATATATATATATATATATATATATATATATATAAATTAAACATGAAGAGTCTCTAAAACCCTTTTGTAAGAGGAACTACTTTCTTCCACCGTTCATTCACATCTGCAGCTCGTCAGAATAGCAGAAACCTTTGCTCATTCAGCAACATTACTTCAGAGCTAGTGTTTGAATGATTCTCTAGCGTAATGTCTAAAATGATGGCAAAACAGCTGATTTTGCTCAAATTTCAAGATTAAAGGGCTGAACAGCATGAAATGCCATCAGTCTACAGAGATTTTCCAGTTTTTTTTCTGTTGCAATCAGGAGATCACAATAATTAACCCCAAAATAGTCAAAGCAAAGCAAACACTAGCAGATTACTGTGATATAAATACAGCAGTACAACATACAGATCGACTTAGAATGTCACTTACCTGATTTATAATGATTTCTTCAGCTGCAGTTCGAAATTTACGTTGAGTTTTTCCTCCCCTGAGGACTTATTATGTAATTATGAATATTTAAAATAGGCACTATCCTTATAAATAAACTGCATAGTTAAAATCTAAACAGCTACTGTACATTCTCCACTAAAACAGCCTCAGAGTACATCATGTTGTCCAACAGCTGCAATATTTGTCAGACTGTGGTGAGTTGTTCAGTTCCTCTTTAGTCCTAGTGTGGGCGGAGTAATACACAAGGGTGAAGAGGCTCTGCGAGTGCTGATAAGACTTTAATATCCCACGGCTTTCAGCCAATCAGATTCGAGAACCAGACGGAACTGTTGTATAAAGACAGATATATCAGGATTCAAAATCAGTGTCCACTTAATAGGCAAACAGAGCCCGAGTGAAAAGCAAACGCTGTGGAGATCTGAGATAGAGCGGTAAGCGATGAGGTCTGATTGTGAGTTTTTCTACATCCTCAAGTGACCTCGTAAATCAGTGAACGTGGAGTGACCCGGGCCCATGCAGACTGCAGATCAGCTCTAATGTGACAGACATATGAAAGCACGCGTCTGCGGCTCCCCGGGGACCAATTTAAGAGGCGCACGCGTTCGCTGCCTCCTCCTCCCCTGTTCCTCATGCAGACCTGTGCTTAATGCCAAGCGTTGCCACGGTGACGCTGATGCCACCATCTGTCACGCAGCCCCGCACCGCTTCTCTTTAATGAACAGGCGATGTGCATTTATTAATTAAACATTAGAGCTGAACTGCAATGGCGGTCTGTGTCCACTATGGGATATATTCATCCTATATACAGTTTAAGTCAGAATTATAAGCCCAATTTTTAAATACATTTCTAAACATAATAGTTTAAGGGTAATAGTCATCTGTGGTTTGGTACATTTGGTCTGGATTAAGGGCAATAAATAATGCATTGTAGAAATTTTCTGCCGTTTTTGGGTCCTTTTTACACCATAAAATAGTGATGTGCAGATCAATACTACAATATCTATCTCTGATACCAGCTTTGTATGTTCTAGAATCGATTATCTATAATATTAGACTAGATATTCTTCAAGACACTAGTGTTCAGCTTAAAGTGACATTTAAAGGCTTCACTAGGGTAAAGTGAGGGTAATTTGGCAAGTCATTGTATAACAGTGGTTTGTTCTGGAGACAATCCAAAACTAATATTGCTGAAGGGGGCTAATAATATTGACCTTAACATGGGTTTAATGTTAAGAACCGCTTTTATTCTGGCTGAAATAAAACAAATAAGACTTTCTCCAGAAGAAAAAATATTAGAGGAAGTACTGTGGAAAATTCCTGAATCTGTTCAACATCGTTTGGGAAACATTTGAAAATAAAATATAATTCACAGGATGGCGAATCATTTTGACTTCAACCTTTATAAAATAAAATAGTTTTTAAGTTAATCTAACCTACATCTTGCATTTTTTTCTCTGAATTTTTGTTTTATTTATATTTATTTTAATTTCATAATTTGCCATTGCTATTGTTTTTAAAATTAGGAGATGCATCTCTGTTTTTCTGTAAAGTGCTGCAAGTGCTGTTTCCACAGGCTGATTCTGATTTCATATCAATTCTGAGTTTAATTTTCTCAGAATTATAAATGCATTGCTTACAATTGCAATTTATAGTTTCATATGTTTAGCGACTGTGATTTTTTTTCTTTCTCAGAATACAAAATTATTTCCCCTTTTTTCTGAATTGCTGTGCTATTTATCTGTTCTCACTGTATTTGTTTTGCATTCCAAAAAATGCATTTCACAATTCTTAACTATTTTTATTAATATCACACGCTTTTCAATATTTATTTTAGAGCTACAAATATAAGCTCATAATTGTGGCTTATTTTCCTCAGAATTTATTTATTTTGGGCTATATATTTGCATACAAAGCTGCAAAACATACATATTATAAGTACTGTCAAAATAAAAGTTTGCTTTGTCAATTTATGTGTGTGTACTGTGCACATTTATTATGTAGGCTATATGTAAATAAACACGCATGCATTAATTTGGGGAAATGTTTGTTTATATTTAAATATAAAATAGATAGGCAACACTATTTATTTTGATGGTCCATTAGTGTATTAGTAGATTCAACAGACATTTCACTGAATATAAGACACTATTTGAATGCTATTAATAGATAGATAGATAGATAGATAGATAGATAGATAGATAGATAGATAGATAGATAGATAGATAGATAGATAGATAGATAGATAGATAGACAGACTGTGTACACATGCATTTATTTAATGTATTATATTTATAGGATCTTTAAGATGGCGTCTCTGATATTGTTCACCTCAAGAGTAAAGGTAGAGAGGCACATATGATTGAACTGCTTTTTTTCTGTTGTTGTAAATAAAATAAAGATACTTAAAGCATAACAAACAACACTAACAAAACCTGTTTAAAAGCTTTATTATTTAGTCCACTTCTATAAAACATGAATATCATGTAAAGCAGAGGAGTGTTGGTGAAAAGAGCGCTGGCGCCTCCTGTCGGCCAGGAGATCCGGGAATATGACAATACAAGAGATGACTTTCTCAACAATAAAAATATCAATAGGACTCTAATAATTTATATTTATTTTAAAAAAATCCGAAAATAATAATAATATAAAACCTATTGACCTGTGGATTGATGAAGAAATCCTCTTAATGATGACGAAATAAAACAAAGCATATTTTAACCATAAATAAAATAATTTCACTGACACAATTTATTACTAAGCAACTAATTAAACTGAATTATTCAATCTGTCAGATTTTCAGCTGAAGAGTTAGATCAGTCCACACACTGACGCCTTTAACACTGAAGTCTCCATCCTGCAGTGTGAGCGCTTTAAGCGCAGTCTCAGTCTCCTCCTTTAAGCTCTCTCCTGAATTTATTAAATCCCTCAATCGATCAGCCAGCACATCAAAGCTCACCGCTCCCTCTGACGTCACCCACACGCTCTTAGTGACGTCATACTCCAAACAAGACGCCCACTGTTTCAAAGCACCCCAGTAGAGCTTCCTAAACTCCGGAGACTGTCGGGAAATGACTGCACACACCTCAGGGGAAATAACCGTGCAGAATGTGTTCAACCCCCCATCACTCTCTTTCAGCCATGTGATAATGAAGCGCTGAGATTCATCACTACTGCAAAGCAGTGCTCCCGCGATGACGTCATAAAAACCGTCCACTTTTCCCGCGCTGTCACAACGAACCGAATCCAGCAAGCATTTCGCGTGCTCCTCATTACCAGGACGAGCTAGTATCGAGTTTAAAAGTTTCCCGAGGAGTTTGCCTCTTACTTCCGGCTCAGTTTGTAACCCATAGTAACTACTAGTCGTGTTGACAGTGCAGCACAACAGACTGAACGCGGATTTGCGTGTAACGAGGCTGTTCTGAGGCGCCAGGAGCTCCTGTGAGGGACTGTTTTGATCAGGAAAAAGCATTTCTATTATAAAATGCGGCGAGGAAGGGTTTCTGAGTAAATACACGATCAGCTTGTGTTGACACTGCGCCAGCTCGGAGAACTCCACCGGACTGTAGGACGGAAATGTTTCCCGCAGGCGCCGGTTGGTGTCTGTCAGACCGGACTCCAGCCTGGAGCGCACCGTAGGGTTGGACTGGTATCGGGAGTGCAGCTGCTCGCAGTATTCAGCCCACTTAAACGCCCGCTGTGTGGTGGGACGGTCCCATTCGCGCACGCGGTCAGTTCGGGACACGGCTAGCAGCTCCAAAATGTTGTTCAGGTGCCTCAAAACTGCCTCCATCAGACGCTCCGCTGCAGCAGCTCAGTGTGTAAACAACAGCGCATGCGCAGTTCACTCCGAATTCAGCCAGAGCGCCTCGCTCTTCATTTGCTATTGGTGGAAGACGAGCACGACGTCACCGCTTCCTAACAGTATTTCAAAATAAAAGTAGCGTTTGCGCTTCAATCACTGCACAGTTTAAAATGAGTAGTTTTTACGCAGTACAAAAAGGTTTCCTGTGCTTTACAAATAGTCATTTTCATTGAAAGCATGTTTTTTAGCATTGTATATGTTATAGAAATGTCTTTTTGAAGTTTAATTACATTTTAAATAAATTTTCTCCCTCAGTGGGTATCGTCAATATTCACACAGACTAGTCGCGTCTCTGATTCTTATTTTACAAATAAATTACTTTCATTGAGTTTATTTTGGATTTTTAGAATATATATTTTGGTCTTTAAAGTTTAATCACCTCTTAAATAACTCTCGCCCCTGAGGCTCGTCCCATTGAGGGAGGCGGTGAGTTCGCGCAAATGTGAGTCTGTTTTGAACGGAGAGCCGCAATGACTGTCAGACATTCGAGGCTCAGTGTCACTGCAAACAGTCTGGGCTTGACAAAAGCATGAATTCACTGCACTCGAGAGTCTCCTGCTGAACAACCGACAGCTTTCTGGAGGGTAAGTGTATATTCTATACGTGAAAATGTTCATTTGTGTTTATATAAATGCATACATAATGATAACATATACTTTTATTGTGTATAACATTAAAATTATGCATAATACCAAGCTAAATAATAATAATAATAATAATATATATTTTAATAAATAGTTTTGAGGAGTGTTTTTGAGTTTTATGATCTGTCTGCACAGTGCAGTCTGTGGTTTCTCTTTAAGTGTTAAAAATAGCTCATGAAAGCTTTGAAATATTACTACAGTCATAAAATCTCAAGCCTCCCATCTTGAACGCAGAAAACACTCGTTTTTCTCTGTATTTCTTTGGTCATCAGGCTGAAAGTATTCCCGTTTTTTTTCATATAAGCTCCTGTTAAATGTTATTGTGCTTTAAAAGTGTGTGACAGCCTTGTAAATGTTATTAAAGCCTGTCTGAATCATTGATAATTAAGCAACTGTATTGTGCAGACAGCTGGACTGAACATGTAGTGTTAACATAGCTTGTATTTTGATTTAAGATACTGTGATTTACCCTTCAGGACAGAATACAATGTGTGCTTGTTGAACATGACACAGCACTGAAGCTCAGATAACTGCAACCCAATCAGAGATATGCAAGAGAGTATTATTATACAGTGCTCAGCATAATTGACTACATCCCATTTTGAAAATAAGTATTTTTATTCATTTTTCAGTGAATTTAGGCAGTGTATTTTGGTGCTTTTAAATCAAACAGATATATTAAACAGATATATTTATTGAAATAATATTTTAGTCACCGAACATACTTAGAAATTGAAAGATAATATAATTAAATTCCAGCAAAATATTGCAAAAAAAAAATCTACAAAATTTCAACAAAATTGTCTAATATTTTTGCTTCTCTTGATTTTTCCTCTTTTTAAAATCTACATTTAATATTTTTCTATAACATATGAATTTGGGTGTACTAGTTTTTATACCGTCATAAGTTATTTTGATAGATTTTGTCCAGATTTGGCTTAAGTACTGACTAATCTAATGTATATGCACAACTGTAATATTGTAAAGCTTCCTATTTAAAATATGAATCTAAAATAAATATTTGTGAGGGGTGAACTTACAGTAGAAACCAGAAGTTTACATACACTCGAAAAAAAAGGAACGTAACCATTTAAAAAAAAAATGTCTGATGGAAAATCAGACAAAACTTTTACCATTTTAGGTCTGTTAGGATTACCTAAATGATTTACATTTGCTAAATGCCAGAATAACGAGAGATTTTTTTTTTTTTGAGAAGTTTTTATTAATTTCTAGACAGTCAAAGTTTACACGCATTTCCTTGGTATTTTTCAGCTTTTCTTTTAAACTGCATAACTTTGGTCAAATGTTTTGGGTCTCCTTCCACAAGCTTCTCGCAATAGTTTGAAGGAATTTTGGCCCATTCCTCCTGACAGAATTGCTGTAACTGAGTCAGATTTGTTGGCTGTCTTGCTCGCACAAGCTTTTTCAACTCTGCCCACACATTTTCTATTGGATTGAGATCAGGGCTTTGTGATGGCCGCTCCAAAACATTCACTCTGTTGTCCTTAAAGTATATTTAAACTAATTAGGGTAATGGTCTGTTTGGAAGACCCATTTGTGGCCAAGTTGTAATGTCCTGGCTGATGTCTTGAGACGTTGCTTCAGTATTTCTACATAATGTTCTTTCTTCATGATGCCTGTGAAGTGGACCAGTCCCTCCTGCAGCAAAACAGCCCCACAACATGATGCTGCCGCCCCCATACTTCACAGTTGGGATGGTGTTCCTAGGCTTGTGCGCTTTCCCCTTTGTCCTCCAAATGTAACACTGCTCATTATGGCCAAACAGTTCAATCTTAGCTCCATCAGAGCACAGGACATGTCTCCAAACATTATTCCCAGTGTAATTTAGCGCATTGTAATCTGGCTGTTTTGTTGATTCTGGCTTGTTGATTTTCCCATGTTGTCACACAAGGGAGCAGTGTGTGTTTGAGCTTTTCCTTAAATACTATTCTACAGTTGTGCCTCCAATTATCTCAAATGTAGTCAATTAGCCAATCAGAAACCTCCAAAACCTTGACACCATCATCTGAGCTTTTTCAGAGGCAGAATAATCTTATTGTGTGCAAACCTGACATTCAAGATTAGTTATAACAATTTCTCTAAAAATCTCTCTCTCATTATTCTGCTATTAAGTAGAACAGAAACAAATGTGATGATCCTAACTTACCTGAAAGAGAAAATTAGTCACATTAACATCTGACTTTTTTTATGTTTATGTGCCTTTTTATACAGTGCATGTAAACTTCTGCTTTCAACTGTATATATGCCGATATACATGGCTGATTCCAGCGTTATGGATGTGACATTTGCAGTAAAAATTCAAAACATAAATTCGCAGAGAAAGTATACGTTAACATTATATTGAACCATCTGTTTATATTTTCCAAAACAACTAACCACAGAATTATGGGATCAAAAAAATTCAATCTGTGAACATTTTTATACTTTAAACGAAGAAAATAAACAAGCGTTATGGATGTGACAAAAAGAGTCTGCGAGTTTACAGTATACAACATATTTCGTAGAAATTCTGTGAATTAAACTGCACAACCCAAAATAAATAATGCTCAACAAAAGGATAAGAGTTGGCTCTTTATAGAACAAAACTGATTGATTTTATTTTATTTTGACATTTTTGAGGGAAAAGCTTTGTTATGGATGTGACACTTTTTCGTTATGGATGTGACGGATGTGAAATTGTTTGACTTTTGTAAATCAAATATAATAGTTTGAAAACATTGACAGAGACATTTTTAAGTATTTTAAAGTACTGTAAAACACTTGGCTGCGCAAAAAATGTAGAAACGGTTTTGCTATTTTGGTGAAAACATTTTTCTTTTCATGGCAAGGTTGACATTTTCATGGAATTGCTCATATGCTGTATTTCTCAAGATTAGCGTAATTCATGCCACCATACAGTATCTGAAATGCATATAACTTCTACACAACAACCTGCATTTACAATCCAATTGTTTGCTAGAAAAATATTGACTGAAAGAATATTATATAATATTATATTCCCAGCTGTGTCACATTGTACACTGACCTTTGGTTTCTGCCGCATGTGGCCAATATGTGTGTGTTTATGTTTTATGTGTGATGGTAAATGTCCGGTAAATATCCTCTCCATCTGTGTGTTTGCTTAACATGTGTCAGCAAGTGACGAGCGCTATTAGAGAAAGACTTTAGTGAGAGGGTTAACTTTATCGCCTTAACGTTATGTATTCTTTTATTTTAATTTGTGTGATGATTTTCTGTTAATGCAAATTGAATAAGCAATTAATAATAAGAGTGACCTTTAGAGGACAATCTGAGGGGTAGCTTAATGATCACGGTCTCTTTAAAATAGATAAATAAAAAGTGAGTAGGCATTGGATGATAACCGGTTTCAGGGGTTACCACTGTTTGGAAAAGTCAAGGTATAAAGCCAGAAGAGATTTCTGTTATACTGTTCCTAAGGTATATGTAAAGGATTTTTATTGTGTGCTTTTTATGTATCGTAAAGAAATTTGTGTTTGCAACTAATTCAGTTTAATTCAGCTTTATTTGTATAGCGCTTTTACAATGTAGATTGTGTCAAAGCAGCTTCACATAAATGGTCATAGTAACTGGATCAGAGTAGTTCAGTTTTTAGTGTTTAAGTTCAGTTCAGTTTAGCTCAGTTCAGTGTGGTTTAAAGTCATTACTGAGAGTCCAAACACTGAAGAGCAAATCCATCGATGCGTAGCTCTACAGATCCTGAACCATGCAAGCCGGTGGCGACAGCGGAGAGGGAAAAAAACTTCACCAATAGAAACTAATGAAGACAACAGAAGTCAGTGACTTATTTAAATTACTTAGCCTGTTCCAAAATATTATACATGTTTCCTAAAATTAAATGTATTGTGTTCAAAGAGGGGAAAAGTTGTTTTATTTATTGGTACTTTTAAAATAACTTATTTTAGAGCAGTAATAACAATATCATGATACCATGAAGCCATTATATTTTTATTCAAGGTTATCATAGCGTCAGAAACTTATACCCGCACATGCATATAAGTACAAAATGAAAGCGATCACGTTAAAATAAGGATGGTAAAATGTTTAAAACGCAGTTCAAAACACATGCCAAGAAGGTTTTTTTGCATATTGTTATTGAGCTAGGGGCTGCACAGTGGGTAGCATGTTTGCTTTGCAGTAAGAAGGTTGCTGGTTCAAACCTCGGCTGGGTCAGTTAGCGTTTCTGAGTGGAGTTTGCATGTTCTCCCCGTGTTGGTGTGGGTTTCCTCAGGGTGCTCCGGTTTCCCACACAGTCCAAACACGTGCGCTATATTGGGTAGGCTAAATTGGCCATAGTGTATGTGTGCGAATGAGTGTGTATGGGTGTTTCCCAATATGGAAGGGCATCCGCTGTGTAAACAATATGCTGGGTAAGTTGTCGGTTCATTCCGCTGTGGCGACCCCAGATTAATAAAGAGACTAAGCCGAAAACAAAATGAATGACACATACATGCACAAACACACACAAACATAAGCGTGTGTGTGTTTTGTGAATATCTTCTGGTAGTTCATGCAGTTTGTGTCTGCTCACTGATGAAGTGAAAATATGACCTACTTCCCTGTACATCTGCAGGATTTTCTTATCTGCTTTATCGTCCGCCAGATCTGATCTCTCAGAAAAGCAATAGTGATGCAAACTCTGCTGATGAGGTCAACCTCCCATTCACTCATATATACACTCACCGGCCACGTTATTAGGTACACCTTACTAGTACTGGGTTGGACCCCCTTTTGCATTCAGAACTGCCTTAATCCTTCAGGGCAGAGATTCAACAAGCTACTGGAAATATTCCTTTTGGATTTTGCTACATATTGACATGATAGTATCACACAATTGCTGCAGATTAGTCGGCAGCACACTCATGATGTTAATCTCCCGTTCCACCACATCCCAAAAGTGCTCTATTGGATTGAGATCTGGTGACTGTGGAGGCCATTTAAGTATAGTGAACTCATTGTCATGTTCAAGAAACCAGTCTGAGATGATTCACGCTTCATGACATGGTGTGTTATCCTGCTGGAAGTAGCCATCAGAAGATGGAGACACTGTGCTCAAAAAGGGATGGACATGGTCAGCAGCAATACTCAGGTAGGCTGTGACGTTGACATGATGCTCAATTGGTACTAATAGACCCAAAGCGTGCCAAAAAACTATCCCCCACCCCATTACACCACCACCACCAGCCTGATCCGCTGATATAAGGCAGGATGGATCCATCCTTTATGTTGTTGAGGCCAAATTCTGACCCGAGCATCCGAATGTGTCAGCAGAAATGGAGACTCATCAGAGCAGGCAACGTTTCTCCAATCTTCTATTGTCCAGTTTTGGTGAGTCTGTGTGAATTGTAGCCTCAGTTTCCTGTTCTTAGCTGACAGGAGCGGCACCCGGTGTGCTCTTCTGCTGCTGTAGCCCATCCGCCTCAAGGTTGGCTGTGTTGTGTGTTCAGAGATGCTCTTCTGCAGAGCTCGGTTGTAGCGAGTGCTTATTTGAGTTACTGTTGCCTTTCCATCAGCTGGAGCCAGTCTGGCCATTCTCCTCTGACCTCCGGCATCAACAAGACATTTGCGCCCACAGAACTGCCGCTCACTGGATATTTCCTCTTTGTCTAACCATTCTCTGTAAACCCTAGAGATGGTTGTGTGTGAAAATCCCAGTAGATTAGCAGCTTCTTAAACACTCATAGCAGCCAACAACAAATGCCACGTTTAAAGTCACTTAAATCCTCTTTCTTCCCAATTCTGATGCTCAGTTTGAACAGCAGAAGATCGTCTTGACCATGTCTACATGCCTAAATGCATAGAGTTGCCGCCATGTGATCAGAAATTTGTCTTAACAAGTAGTTGGACAGGTGTACCTAATAAAGTGGCCGATGAGTGTATATCCTCTTTATTATATTAATCACTGAATCTGTCTGGGAAACATGCATTGATATTAACTGAACATCTCTCTAAAGGCATCCTGCTTTTGTCCATTTGGGACAGCGTGTCCTCTTTTTATTGTTTAGATGGCCAACAACACCTTTTTGTTTTGTTTCTCTCAAACTTTTCCAGCACAGGAGCTCTTTCAGAAATAAAAAGAAAGAGATTTAGCTTTATCTGATAGGCGCTTGGCAGGTAAAGTGAACTCTGGCGTACTGTTTTTGTGGAGCAAGGAAAATATACAGATTGACTTTCAGTTCACCTCCGTCTGCCATCCATTCAGATCCACCGTAACAATGCGAGGATTGTTGGAGCCGAGTCTTCATTCCCAGGTTGTTTAGTGGGATCCTGGAGTCCCGTTCTGCATGGCCCGAGGAGATTTACACCTCTCTGAAATCATAACTTTTTTTTTTTCCATCTTGTGCTTCTGGAGATTCTGTGCCGCACACATTTTCAGTGGCAGTATTTTTTGTCCTCATTTCATTGCTCCCAAAGGGATAAGTTAAAGGGTTAGTTCACCTAAACAAAAATGAAAATAAGCCCATGGTTTGGTAGCAAGGTGGCTCAGTGGTTGGCACTGGCGCCTCACAGCAAGAAGCTCACTAGTTCGAGCCTCGACTGAGTCAGTTAGCTTTTCTGTGTAGAGTTTGCATATTTTTCCTGTGTTGGCGTGGGTTTTCTCAAGGTGCTCAGGTTTCCCCCACAGTCCAAACAAATGCGCTATAAAAACATTTTTTTTTGTAATATCATTGTTGTAACAATAGTTTTAAAAAATGCCTCAGCAATTACCAGGCATATTTAGAAAATATTAAATCATATTGCAACATTAACAGATCCTATTTAATTTGATTGGATCCTATCTCAATACAATAGAGCAGCTTTAGGATGTGGTGGTACGGGAGATTGGCATCATGGATGTGCAGCCAACAAAACTGCAGCAACTGTGTGATGCTATCATGGAGCAAAATTTCTGAGGAATATTCCCAGTACCTGGTTGAATCTCTGCCATGAAGGATTAAGGCAGTTCTGAAAGCAAAAGGGTTCCAACCCGATACTAGTAAGGTGTACCTAATAAAGTGGCCAGTGAGTGTATATTATATATATATATATAAACAAGAAGAATTTCTTCTTCTATTATTATTATTATAATCAATGTTTAAAAAAGTTGTGCTGCTTCCTATTTTTCTGGGAAACATCCACACACACATTCAAACACACACTCATACTCTACGGACAATTTAGCCTACCCAATTGACCTGTACCACATGTGTTTGAACTGTGGGGGAAACCGGAGCACCCGGAGGAAACCCATGCAAAGGCAGGGAGAACATGCAAACTCCACACAGAAACGCCAACTGAGCCGAGGCTCGAACCAGCGACCCAGCGACCTTCTTGCTGTGAGGCGACAGCACTACCTACTGCGCCACTACTTCGCCCCTTCTGGGATGAATATAAAGTTTAAAAACAGCATCAGTTTGACTTCAATCTCACATGTAGTGCATATAGACCAAAATAAAAAAGAGAAAAGACTCTTATGATGTCTAACAGCCACATAAAAGCCACCTTGTGATGTCCTCGCAACCACTGATAACCCTCAGGATGACAACAAGCCAGAAAGCGAATCCTAGAAATACCCATCAATCCAGTCAGAAACACTTTAGCAAATGTGCTCAAGAGTTGTTTGGGATCTTGTCAACAGCCATTACTGACATTTCCTAAAATCACATTTCCCTCAGATTGAATCTAGTTATTATTATCCGACTGGGATCTTGCAGACTATCCCAACATTTCTCAGGGAAAAGCAGGTCTGTTTGTGTGTAAAAAAAAAAGTGTTTTCAGGTCAAAGAGAATCGCAGTAGGGCATGACCAGAGAGAAGCCACACAGTGTGTATCTGTTCGGTCTGTGAATATGATATCACAGGACAAAGAAGAGAGCCTGGAGCTGGACTGTGATGATAGGATCAGTATATGGAGGATAAGAGTCTACTGTAAAGCTTCAGAAACAGGAGGAAGACGCCGTTTGTGCTGTGTGGGAAAGTGAAGTGATTCGTTTGAGGGGATTTTGTCTGAGCCAAATGATTGAGCTGTATGTGCATGATGTGTGTTTCTTATTCTGTGTTTGTCTAGCATGTGTAGTCCTCTGAGCAGCAAGCAACAGCCGGCGGGTCCGGGTCTCACAGATCTGCAGCTCTACAGTCAGTGGCTGGCCAGCAGACATGAGGCCAGTTTGCTGCCCATGAAGGAGGACCTGGCGCTCTGGCTCTCCAGCATGCTGGGTAGGTCATGCTATTTCTTTACCTTAAAGGGGAGCTGTTATGCAAAAATCACTTTGATAGGGGCTTTAAACACAGTTGCGTGTCAGCCGTGTGTGTGAATATAGCCAGCCTCTAATGCTAACAGAATTATTAATTGTATTTGTTATAATCAGGCTTGTTATGTAATCTGTGGATCTTATGCATACATTTCCCTGAAGTTACAAAAGAAATGTTATATGTAAAAATAGTTAGAAGAAAAAGGACTTACCTTATGGTATAGTAGCATCCACATTTTTTTTCATTTTATGTTGTAATCATCCAGTTGATACTTGCAACTGCAAAAACTCCAGATTTCATTGGTAATTCAATTATTAAAATGCAATTTGTGGTTTTCATGCACGTAACCCCGCCGGTCCTACACTACATGACTCTTTGCATTGGAGTCAGTGGCTCTAACAAGGAGGCTAAACACCATAGCCTCTAGCATCTGTCGCTAGAGTATCTTCAGAAGTCAGAGGAGTGAGGTTTACCTGCATAACACTTTGCTAGCTAGCCTCCGTTACACTCACTCCATCTATCACCTCACTCTCATCCCGGACGAGCCCCCACTTGTAACCAACCAGTCCTGCTACACCCAACATGGTCTGAGCAGGGATCAAACCGGCAATTCTTTGTATGGTAGTCGGTTGCACGAAGAAGGAGGCTAAAGACCATGGCCTCTTGTGTCTGTCACTAGAGTCCCTTCAGAAGTCAGAGGAGTGAGGTTTACCTGCATAGCACTTCCCTAACTGGCCTCCGTTACACTCACCCCCTAAACCTCACTCCCATCCAGGTCTTGGCACCAAATGTAACCCTGCCAGACCTACTCTACCCAATCTGCTCCGAACTGGGATCGAACCAGCAACAATTTGCATGAGAGTCAGTTGCTCTAAGAAGTAGGTTAAAGGCCATGGCCTCTAGCGTCTGTCACTAGAGCCTCTTTATAAATCTGAGAAGTGAGGTTTGCCTGCATACCAATTCACTAGCTGGTCTCCGTTACACTCAGCCCCATCCTGGACAAGCCCCCACATGTAACCAACCATTCCTACTACACCCAACCTGGTCTGAGCTGGGATCGAACCGGCGATTCTTTGTATAAGAGTCGGTTGCTTTAACAAGGAGGCTGAAGACCATGGCCTCTGGTGCCTGTCACTAGAGCACCTTGAAAGGTCAGAGGAGTGAGGTTTACCTGCATAGCACTTCGTTAGCTGGCCTCTGTTGACTCACCCCCCCTTAACCTCACTCCCATCCAGGTCTTGGCACCAAATGTAACCCCGCCAGTCCTACACTACCCAACCCGCTACGAACTGGGATCGAACCGGCGACTGTTAGTATGAAGGTCCGTTGCTCAAACAAGGAGGTTAAAGACCATGGCCTCTAGTGCTGTCACTAGAGCAGCTTCAGAAGTCAGAGGAGTAAGGTTTACCTGCATACCACTTTACTAGCTGGTCTCCGTTACACTCACCCCCATCCTGGACAAGCCCCCACATGTGACCAACCAGTCCTACAACACCTAACCCGGTCTGAGCTGGGATCGAACCGGCGATTCTTTGTATGAGAATCGGTTGCTTTAACAAGGAGGCTGAAGACCATGGCCTCTGGTGCTTGTCACTAGAGCACCTTGGAAGGTCAGAGGAGAGAGGTTTACCTGCATAGCACTTCGCTAGCTGGCTTCTGTTGACTCACCCCCTTAACCTCACTCCCATCGAAGTCTTGGCACCAAATGTAACCCTGCCAGACCTACTCTACCCAACCCGCTCTGAACTGGGATCGAACTGGCGACTCTTCGTATGAAACAAGGAGGTTAAAGACCATGGCCTCTAGCGCCTGTCACCAGAGCATCTTCAGAAGTAAGAGGAGTAAGGTTTACCTGCATACAACTTCACTAGCTGGTCTCCGTTCCACTCACCCCCATCCCGGACAAGCCCCCACATGTGGCCAACCAATCCTACTACACCCAACCTAGTCTGAGCTGGGATCAAACTGGTGATTCTTTGGATGGGAGTCGATTGCACTAACAAGGAGGCTAAAGACCATGATCACCTCTAGCGTCTGTTGGTAGAGCACCTTCAAAGGTCAGAGGAGTGAGGTTTACCTACATAGCACTTCGCTAGCTGGCCTTTGTTACACATAAGTTTTCCTGGGATTGACTAATGAGGTGTGCACCAAGGCTCTGTCCTAGGGCCGTCTTCATTCTGCAGGTGTTTTCTGTTTGCGATTGAGAGGAAATGTTTAAATGTATGTTTCTTTATTTGCATACCTTGCTTGAGGCGCGTACATCTCCGCACTGTTTACATTCTTGTATATTATCCTTTCGTTTGTTTGATTTAATCTGCGGTCTGTTGGAATCCTTACAAGTGACGCATTCTTTATTACATCTCTCGCATTTGCCGAAGGTTTTGATTTCGATTAATTGCTTTCTGATGGATGCAATCTATTTATGTGCATAAACAAGGCATGGCATGTGTGCATGTTTTCATCATTAATCAGATTCTGAATACCGCTCACCATTTGAACCAGGAGACAAATAGTGAACAGAAGAGAATGGTAGAGTGTCCTGGTCCTGGCTTCATCTCTGAGTGTGTATGTGTGTGTGTGTGCGGATAGAGGGGGATGTCTGTGGAATTTCTGGCAGTTTTCAGGCCATGAACAGCCAGCTGAAACCAGGGCTTTGTCTTTGGTCTGCCTGGAGCAAAAGGAAGCCAGGAGCCGCAGTGGGCCGCGCAGGGGCTTCACATGCAACCACACACCAACCACTAGATCCCTATGCAGATCATCCACACTCTTTAGTGGCTTACGCCTGTCTATGTGTTATTTATTTAGACAAATGACTGCTCAGATCTCTGAAACTGATCTGCGTAACAGGAACACAATTTGATTATTCTTCCCGGGAGCCACTTTAGTATACATTTCTGCCTTTTTGAATTGCATTTACTTGCAATTTCAACTATTAGTGCTGCACCTTTTTTCTAATCGAGTTAAAGTTCAGCCCCCCCCACCCCCCCCCCCAACCAAAAATACAATTCTGTCATAACTTCTTCATTTTGTTCCAAATCCATTTGAGTTTCTTCTGTTGATCACAATGGAAGAATAAAAAGCTATTGACTTCCATTGTATGTCATCCTACTATAGACAACAGTCTTCAGAATATATTGTTTTGAGGTCAACAGACGAAAGAAACCTAAAGGTTTAGAACCACTTGAGTGCTTCCAGCTGCAACCCAGTACTGGGAAACATCAATACACTCGCTCACACATACACTCATACACTGTGTGGCTAATTTAGTTAATCAATTCTCCTATAGCGCATGTGTTTGGACAGTGAGGGAAACCGGAGCACCCGGAGGAAACCCACGCCAACACGGGGAGAACATGCAAACTCCACACAGAAATGCCAACTGACCCAGCCGAGGCTCGAACCAGAGACCTTCTTGCTGTGAGGCGACAGTGCTAAGCACTGAGCCACCATATAGAAATATGTAATTTAAAATATTAAAAACAGCATAAATAAATATGCTAAAATAACACATTTAAATGAAAAAATATATATAAAAATAAAAATGTCTTCAATTTACTTAAATAAAGTTATAAAAATAATCCTGCTGGATTATACCTGTTAATTCTCCTGTTTTCGCCGGGAGTCCCCCGTATTTTATACCCATCTCCCGCCTATCTCTTGTATTGTTCTGTCTCCCGGAAAACTCCCGGAATTCCACCCACACCCCCCTCCCGCACTTCAGCTTTTTGGCACAGTCTGGCTAGGTTTTTGGTTCAGTCCCCATGCGCACCGAACTCAACGCGCAACCATCTTAATACCCGCTCCCCGCTCTTCAGTTTGCGCACACCTTCCCTCCCGCTCTTCAGTTCGCGCACACCCCTGGAGAAAATCTCCCGGATTTTATGCTCCGAATGTTGGCAGGTATGTTCTGGATATGTTATGAGTAGGGCCAGACGGATTCTGCGGACGTTTTTTGCTATTTCTGCGGAGAATTTTGGTAAAAATCTGCGGATTTCTGGGGAATTATTTTGGGAGTATCCAACGGAGTATCATAACTTACACTTTAATATATTAAATAAAAAGTAATAAATTACTGAATAAAAACTGAGTAAATTCAGATTTACACATTTATTCAAGTAAATAAACAGAATTAATAATGAGCTAAAAATCTGCAGAAATCTGCGGAATTCTGTGGAAAATCTGCGGAAAATCTGCGGAATTCTGCGCGCTCAGATTCCGTGTGGGCCTAGTTATGAGTATTATTACTGTTACAATTATTATTTTTACATATCTACTGATTTATGTATATAGAAAATCTTTTTTACTTATTTATTTACAGTTTAAATTTATGTTTACTCTGAATGCTCTTTCATTTACCTGTTTGGTTCAATTATTATATTTTTAACATAACTTAAACCTTACTTGGCATTCGATGTGAACAGCAAAGTAAGAATTTCAGTGTACAGGGAATTGATTTCCTGAGTCTTTAAATCTTGAATGAACTATTATTATTATTACATTTAAACTATTATCATTCATTAATTTTCCTTCAGCTTTATCCAATTATTCATCAGGGGTCACCACTGTGGAATGAACCGCCAACTTATCCAGCATATGTTTTACACAGCAGATGCCCTTCCAGCTGCAACCCAGTACTGGGAAACATCCATGCACACTCATTAACACACACTACAGACAATTTAGTTAATCAATTCCCCTATAGTGCATGTGTTTGGGCTTTGGGGAAAACTGGAGCACCCAGAAGAAACCCACACCAACACGGGAAGAACATGCAAACTCCATACAGAAACGCCAACTGACCCAGCCGAGACTCAAACTAGTGACCTTCTTGCTGTGCAGCAACAGTGCTAAGCACTGAGCCACCCTGTCATGGACTTTTTTGTTCTAATTCTTATTATTTACATCTGAAATTACCCCTATAACTGCACTTAATCTGGCTAAGAATACACTTCGGATGCACAATCTGCATCAATCTTAATCTAAAATCACAGATTTTGCAGACGCACTAAACTCATAACTCACACTGATGATATCGCAGCACTTGTCTCGAACTGATTCACAGATAAACACGTTTGAGTTCCACAAATAGACAAGTGCTCTGGAAGGAAACAGCTGATTTATTTAGCGATAGTACAATCCAGATGAAACACACACACACACACACACACACACACACGCACACACACACGCACACACAGACTCGATGCTACAGATCAACATGTGGCGCTGCGCTTTACTGACTTCCAGACGATCATTCTTTGGGGATGATGTCACTGTGAAACAGGAGGTGGCGGCGGGGGGTTGGGGATCTGCGGAAAGAGCACATTTTCTCATCCACTCGATGTATTTCTTCATAAAGAAGGGGGCGTCAGTGGTCGAGGGCGTTTAGATGTTTTAATGAGTTCCAAATGTGGGGATCGAGCCCAGCGGAGAGCGGACGAATGCTTTCTGAACGCGCCGCTCAGCAGCTTACCCTCTGCATGGAAGAGTCATACACACAGCATATTTTCATATATTGAATAAAGAACAGTTGATATCACTGTACTACCACCGGGACACTTAACTTTACATCACTTTGTAGGGTCCAGCCAGTTGGTCCAATGACTGTATCCAATGATGGATGAAGGTTCACTGCATGTTCGGTCTTTCCAGTGCACAATGTTGATCTATATTAAACTTAACTCATATCTGACTCCAATTTTAGTATGAGGTGGTTTAGAATATTAATATATTTATCCTCGTTTTATCTGACTCCAATTATAAAACATTGATAATTTAGATTATTATTGAATATTCTTTTGATTTGTTATTATACCTTATTCTCATTTATTCAGATTCCTATAGCATCCTGAGTCTTGCACCGGCCGGGTTTACAATCTCTTACAAGTTTGTCAGTCTTGGTCACTAAACAGAGGTAATTAACCACTCTCCTAAAATGGCAGAACCCTACTTTACTCAATTTAGGAGATTTTTATGTGGTCCCCAGATCTGTTATCTACTTAATCAAGACAAATTATTTTAATAATAATCGCACAGTATTATAAGTTTGTAGATGAAAGGCTAAATACCCACATTTAGAGTAGTTTCAACAATATTTTGTTGTTCTAAATAGAAAACTCATAAGCCCCTTTCACACATACAGACCTTTCCGGAAAATTACCGGCAATTTTCCGGAAAGGTTGTATGTGTGAACAGGTCCTTTTTGAAAATACCGGTAAATTCATTCTGGCTATTTTCCGGAAAGATAAGTTGTAACATTTCCGGCAATTTGCCGGAATGCTGCGCTGTGTGAATGCAGAAGGAAGACTGCCGTAATAAGCGCGTGCACGTCTAGAACGTGCTGACGTGAGACGTCTGCTTTAGCAAATCACAACAGTCAGACGCATTTACGTCCGCGCGGTTTGTGAGAATAAAAGCCTTTGAATATTTTTCCAGACACATTTAGCTGCTAGAAATTAGTCAGATCACGTTTATATGTTCTTCTTAATGCCAACTGTGTAAATAATCATCGATGAAATGCTTATGATAAGCCGTTGTTTGCTTACCTTCAAGCTTTGCGTGTGCCTGTGAAAGAGCCTACCTTTTCATATCTGGTGACTGATTTTCGATAGATATTACTGAGCAGTAGTTATTTTATTATTTTAAAACAAGAATACTCTTCAGAGTCGTAAATAATTATGTAAGGACTGCGGTGTTTTGTTTGTGTGTTTGATTTTTGATTCTAGATTGGGGGCGTGCCTTCAGCGCACCTGATGCTGGTCAGCGCCCTTATTTAAACCCCGGCAGAGAGTTTGTCGGAGCCGCTGTCCATTCACTTGGCAGTTGGCCAGAGCCGCGCTCCTACACAGCAAATTCTGGTCTTTGGAATAAACTCCCTGGGAGTCAAAATCAACTCAATCTGAGTGTACATGCGTGACCATCAAATGTACTCCCATTCAGAGTTAAAATCACTCTGCTTTTGGAGTTGAATTTTAACACATTTTTTTGAGTTAGATTATAACACTTTCTGGAGTTAAAATTGTAATCCTACAAAGAGTACTTTTACATTTGGGTATAATATAAACTCCTTACCAATGTTAAAATGTAACACTTTTTGGAGTTAAAGTGTACTTCAAACAATATATATATATATATATATATATATATATATATATAAAATAACTGAAAATGACTGAACTGATGCAATACTCTTTACTTACTGCTTTTATTCATGCAAATCCACACATTAGATTTAGAATTTCCATCGATGTACACACTTTGAAATTAATTGTCATCACAGCATTAAATCTAACAGCAAAACATTTACAATTAATATATGTTAGCAGCTAGTGCCAACTAAAACCAATGGCTTAGTAAAATTGCATGAGACAATCAACACATTACATTATATAAAATTAACTTCACAGGAATCAAAAGCAGCAAAAAAATATCTTGTCATACTCCTTAATCACAGTCAACTCTGCTGTCTTTGAAGTTAGAATTTGCTCGATTTTCTGAAACGAAGAAAAAAAAAGTATTTAGAAAAATAACCAAAATTAATACTTTTTAACAAAAAAAACTTAATCTAATAACTGTGTTTATACTATTTTTTACTTTAAAATGCATTCATTTTGTAACATTATTTTGTAATGTTTACGGTATAATATCTATGTATATGGAAGTTTAAAAAAAAAAAAACTTACATTTTTTTGGACACTGCCCATTAAAGGTTGAATAATTTGAGATCCAGAATCACTGCTGCTCAAACTGCTTGACACAGACAATGAATCTGTCAGACTTGGGGAGGAAGGCACTTCAACAGCCCCTTGCTGCAGGACAGTCAAATCTGATGAAAAAACAACACGTGTCAGCAAATGGTTCTGAAATGCACACTTTCACTCTGAGTCATGAGACCAACTTTCAAAATCTATAAAAATGTTCTTAAATAACCTACCATCATTAGTGTGGATGACATGTTTCTTTGGTTGTTGCAAGTTCTTGAAATACATCCCCATTTAAAAAACAACTCCATGGTCACCTGTGACTTTTGATGCTGTCTCCTCTGGTATCACAAACTTGTGCTGGACTACAACATAACAACAATGTATAATTTATCAAATAAATTTCAAAATGACTGTTATTATTATTATTATTATTATTATTATTATTATTATTATTATAATTTTTTTAAAATACTCTGTTACACTAAAACTCACCCGCACTGAAAAAATCCAAGAAACAATCTTCTTCCAGTTTAATATATTTTTTCTTGCCTCCAAATTGCACTTTTATCAGCATCGTGGCCTGAAATAAAAAAGATAAATGTTATTTAACAACTTATGTTAGTGTGATTGAAAATGTAATGTAAATATAGCTAAAAACAGCATACTCTCACGGTCACAACTAAATCATGATACAATCCAAAACATTTCATGAGCAATATTACACATTAAATCTTACAGACATAAAGCTCTATTGCTGGATAAAAGATAATGACATTACCTCTTTGTGTAAGTTAGCCTATTTGAAATGTGAACAGCAGGTTTCTCCATCTGATCAAGTAGGAATACCACTTCTTTTTGACAGCAGAACACACATTTTTAGAAACACAGGGGAAGAAAAGATTATTAGCTAGAGTTAACTTGTTCACATCCACAAATTTTTTTTAAAAACTGCACAAAACAGCCACATTGGAAAAGCTAACATGCTATGCTAAGTTAGCCACATGCAGTCACTAGCCTAACAGTACAAAATGAAACAGCTACAGCAAAACACACTTCTGCTACAAAACATCCAACATTTAGAAAAAGCTTTTAGAATTGTATAACAATGCACTTTTACCTACCTCACAACGAAGAACATAACTCCAGTTCTCATGTGCTGCTCGGCAGAGTTGTGTAATGGCGGACTTTCTAAAAATTTAACTCCAGTAAGGAGTTAAAGCACGTTTCTGAACACCAGAGAATGAACTCCAAAATACAACACAGCAAGGGGTATCCCATAACACAAAATTGTGTTAAAGTTTAAAAATAAACTCAAAAAAATTAACTCTTTCACACTTTTTTGCCTAACTCCTAATTTTTCAACTCCAGAAATTTGCTGTGTATTTGGCCTTTATGCTTTGTTTCGCATCCATACACTATCACTGACAACATTTACAGCATCCATACATTTGCATTTCACACTGATTGAACATACTGATATTTTGATTATATAATTTAAATTGAGTTAAATAAATATTCTTTTTGATTATACTTCTCCTTGTCGTCTCCCTTATTATGTTACATCCCTGAGCCAGGTGTAACATATGGGGGCTCGTCTAATTTAAATTTAGTTGATTTGATCTTTGGCTTTCGTAATCGGTATTTGTTGTGTAATAGGTGGGAGAGACAAGGAGGCGGAGATGTTTGTTGGAGCGGCTTTGGGTTTCTAGTCCGATCAGGAAAAGGTAAGTTCTTGCGGTTTAAAACTGTGTAAATGTAAATTTCCCCTGTTAGGTTGTAGCAGCGCATTGCGTTGTTTTTTTTTATTTCAGTTTGTTATTTTTGTGCGGCTTCTGGGTTGAGTGCACTGCCGTGAGCCGCTTTTCCACTATCGTGCTGAATCGTTCTTTAAACAGAACTGTTCCATTCCGTGCCAAACCGGGCCAGACAGCACGGATACGGTTTCATTTTCCACTGTCGTGCTGCGACAAAGCTCTTTAAAACATTACACAAAACGCATCAGTAGTTGCCTTGGTAACGCAATGTAAACGGCTCCCTTTGTTCAATTAAAGTTAAATAAGAGCCGAAACTATTTATTTATTTTTTTCATAAAAGCAAAAGCAACCATGTGACTAAACACTGTTATGCCGCTCTATCATATAGGGGTGCTAAATATAGGTACATGTGCACCCTTATTTATTCATATGTTGCGCAGCTCTGGCTAAATTTTATTTGGAGGGAAAATTACCAAAATGTAACGTGATGATTGAAAATAATTGGAGGGGAAATAAATAATATTTAAAATCTCTGAACATAACAGAAAAATAAACAATGATAAGACAACAATAATAGTGCATTTGCATTATAGTGGCAGAAATATAATTTTGGACAGGCCTTGTCAAAGGTGAGCGGGCACTTTCACTAATAAAAACACAGCACTTAAATTATTTCATTTTAAACAATTATTTAAATTACACTGCGTTTTTATATCAAAAGTTGATAATGATATAAAATATACTACATTTTGATGGTAAAATAAAACCAATTAAGCGATGGCTGTTATTTGTTTTACTATTCAAACATTAAATAACGAATGCAGCAAGTGAAAAAAAAACGAATATGAAAATATATCGCAGGATTTAAAGCATATAAAGCACTATTATATTTAGCAAAATGATGCTCTATTATCTTTTTATTTTGATCATTTTATTTTTATTATTATAATTATTTTTGTGTTCATAATTAACTAACAAGCTGTTGGCGAATTATTGCTAGACGTTTTAGAAAATATTTGCGTAGCTATATTAAAGATCACCACAAAAAAAAAAAAAAACACAGAAACATGTTACATGCCTCATAAATGTCATATAACTTATGTATAATTGAATCATATAATTGCCTATAGCTGAAATGATAAAAATTGCTCATTTTATTTTTATAAATCATTTGTAAAAACGTATTGATATTTTTTAAGTAAAAGCAATACTGACATTTAAGAATCCATATTTATTTAATTCATTCATTATTTTGACTTATTAGTGCATATGCTATAATATAAATCATACAACAGTACCTTGGACAGTTACAGTGCCGCTCCGTAAAGCTGTCAAGCAAAGTCTTTTGGACGGCCGACATTACAACACGAACATGCCGTCCTTCAGGTGGTCTCGCCGGTATTAACAAGCTGTCCTGGCTTTGAATTTAAAAGTGCAATTATTTCCTCGTTGTTAAAAGAGTCTGCAAGTTCGTGTTCCATGGATATATATATCGTGATGTTGTTGTGGAATTTGGACATCGACGATGCAAAGCGTGACTTTATTCGCTTAATTCGATGCGCAGCAGGAAAAAAAGTCAGCAGCGCAAGTCGCTTGCATGTCTCTCCCGGATCAGAGCGAGTTTTGTGCTGTGGAATACAGCGCTGCGTGCAATAAACTCACATTCAGGCAAGCGATGTAGGTCTGTATTCAAGTCAATAAAATAATAACTTTAATGAATAAAATATCTTCGTAAGAATGTGATGAGTTATTCACTTCTCTGCCGGAGACTGCTCTATGGTTTTAAAACCCTTTTCAAACTGTATCGTTTAGACCTGGATCATTATTTTATATTAAATGTACTGTAGTTTATTGAGGATGTCTGATGACTAGCGCGCTTCTGCTGAGCCAGCTGTGGTAGCTTAGCAACCGAGTCGCGACGTCAACACACAGAATCTGTCAGCACAGTTCAGCACGGTTGTCTAACCGTGCCAAAAATTCCGGGCCAAGAACGGTTTGTAATCGTGCCGCGCCGTTCCAGGCTCAGTGGAGAAACAACCGTAACCGTACCGAAGTGTTCTTAGAACGGTTTGGCACGATAGTGGAAAAGCAGCTCAGTAGTTCTGAACTATCTGTTCAGTTCCACACCAGCGGTATCTGAGTGCTTCAAAGGGCTCGACTCTTAGGAGCGCATGAAGATTAGGAATAGTTATTTAGAGTTTTTTTTTCGATAGGATTAGGTGGGGAATTAATTAATTTGTGCACAGTTTTTGACCGTAAGAATTACCTGCGTATATTGTAATTGGGAGTAGGTTATTTGACTATTTGTTATAACTTTGGTTGTTAGATTGATAATGACGTCAGTGGAAGAATTGTGTAGTGCTCCTTCGGATGAGCTATTGAATTTGTGCTCGAAAAAGCAGCTTTGGGAAATTGTAGATCGATACGAGTTGAGTGGCGTTGATAAGCGAATGCGCAAAGATGAGGTTAGATAAATGATCAGAGTTAAATTGAGTGAACTTCAGGTTTTGCCAGTTACGTCGAGACGAGCAACAGCTGGGGTTAATCCTGCAGCTGAGAAAATGTAATTTGTTGGTTCGTCATTTGAGCAGCAAAAAGAGCTGATTAGAATGCAACCGTTGCACGAAAAGGAGATGCGCGTTAGTAAAATGGAAATAGAAAAAAATAGATTGGATGATTTGATGATAAAGCGTGAGATGGAGTTCGAGAAAATAAAACATGAGCAAAAGTTAGCTGTAGAACGACAAAACCAAGAGTTTCAACTTAAGTTTGAGAGTTTAAAACTCTCGAGCGGGTCACCTGTTCATCGCATAGACAGCTCATTCAATCTCATTAATAATTTGAAGTTGTTGCCGGTGTTTAATGAGCGAGATCCAAACGTATTTTTTTCGTTGTTTGAAAGCATTGCTGATGAACGAGATTGGCCTGAGACTGACCGTACCGCTATGCTTCAGTCCGTATTAGTGGGAAAAGCCCAAAAGGCGTATACTGCTCTTTCTGTTGATGAAAGGAAAAAATATGATAGCGTAAAATCTGCTGTATTAAAAGCATTTGAGCTGGTTCCTGAGGCATACCGCCAACGTTTTAGAGCGTGGAGAAAGGGTGATTCATATTTACATTCTCGTAGAGCGATATCTGATTCAACGTGCCGGTATTGTTTAGAGGTCGGGCACTGGAAAAACGAGTGCCCTTTGCTAAAAAAATAAGCAGTTATGTGGCAAAAATAAAAATACTGCACCTGTGCTTTTGACCAATTGTTTTCCGCAGACTCCAGCTGTTTGCAGTATGGATGACTCCGTGATAAAAGGAAATTGTTCCGAAATTAAAGGTAACACTGGGTATGCACCATTTATATCTCAAGGTTGTGTTTCTCTTTTAGAGGAACATGAAAGCGTACCTGTAAGAGTTTTGAGGGATACGGGATCGTCCGAGTCCTTTATTTTGGAGTCCATACTTCCATTTTCATCCAGCTCGTATGTCGGTAAGAATGTTTTGATTCGAGGAATTGCTCTTCAAACATTGTCTGTTCCTTTGCACAAGTTTAGTTTACAGTCCCAGCTGGTGAACGGCGAAGTTATTATGGGAGTGCGCTCTTCTTTGCCGGTGGAGGGAGTGGACATTATTTTGGGAAATAATTTGGCTGGGGAGAGTGTGTGGCCTATAATGACACCTGCACCGATTGTCACCACGTCTTCTGTTCTTGATCAAGAATGTTGTGAGTTATCCGAAGATGTGTCATGTGTAGAGACGCGATCTAAGTCTAAAATGTTGAATGAGTCTAACCTGAATGATACCCGTGTTCCTATTGAGTCTGTCGCTCCTGGATTTTTACAGCATCCATACATTTGCATTTCACACTGATTGAACATACTGATACTGATATTTTGATTATATAATTTAAATTGAGTTAAATAAATATTCTTTTTGATTTAAACTTCTCCTTGTCTCCCTTATTATGTTACATCCCTGAGCCAGCAGCCAGGTGTAACAATTACTTTACGATTCTAAAAGGATCTAACATAAACACCTTATTCATGTTATTGCCTTATTCAGATTAAGGTAAATGATCTGATTGCTGATGTTAACTGATTCATTGTGATCCTCTAAATTTGCCTCAGCAATTCCGACTTTGATTAATGCAGAAAAATAAAATTTCTAATCAGAAATGAGAATTCAGCTCAGTTAGGTCTTGTATTAGTTGTGAACTTCACGGTTCTCTCTCTCTCACTGTGCTGTCCTTCAGGTGTGGAGATCTCAGCCGAGAGCTTCATGGAGCGGCTGGATAATGGTTTTCTGTTGTGTCGGCTAGCAGAGACTCTTCAGGAGAAGTTCAGGGAAAACAGCTCAGACGTCACTTCGCCAGGAAAGGTACTTGTTTACTCTTATTTATGGCATTAAATTAGATTACATTGAGTTTGCAGATATTTTTACTTGCTACAACATCTGTGAAAGACTGTGTACTGTACCATATGACCATTTTAATTGACTTTTTAGCCCATCATTTACTTCATCTCTAATTTTATATCTAATATCTATTTGCTTATGTACATGTGTGTAAATAATTATTCATTCCTTTTTGTATAGCAATTTCAGTAATGTTATTGAATAATATGCAAATGGTTGTAAAGTAACATATTTTGTCTTATAGTAAATTAGTAATTGAGTTTGCGTTCAATTTTTTTATTTAATGATTTATGTTTATAGTTACTATGTAAATCAAATCAATTAGCATAAATCTGATTATTTTGTACAACATTGTGCAGAAATGGCAAAAAATGTCCACAGATTCTGTCTGGCCTTACTTGCGTCTCTAGTCTTAATGGACAAATATTTAATTTATGCTTCATTTGCACTCATCACATAATATTTGCTAAAAAAACAACCGATTTGGTTCATTTATTCAATTTGATGTGGGTCATATTAAAGAATATATTTTATTGAGATTAACACAATATTAAAAAATGTCTCTTAAATTAGTGAAAAAAGTTTTTGCTCATTATATTTGTATTGCCACACAATTGCTGCTTATATTTTCCACCGCAGTAAATTAGTTCAGCATGGCTGCCAAATAGGCTTGCGTGTTTCAAAATAGCTTGCGGTTTATCGGTTTCAGGTGCTTGTATTGAATGCATCTTCAGTTTCTCTTTAACACAAAGACTTTTGTCTGGAGTCGGAGCCGCTCTCCGCTCCCTGCCAAACCTCGGCATTGTGGGACGATGAACTTTGGAGGAAAAAAAGAAAATCTCTGAGCTTTTTCAGCCTAATGAAAGCCGCGACTTGTTAAGTGTTCAGAAACTCCTCCAGATGGGAAAAGCATTAAGATCTCTCTTTTTTTTTTTTTTTTTTTTTTTTTTTTTTTTTTTTTTTCAGTGGTAAATTAAGAAAGTATTTCTGCTTGTCTTGGCCGAAACCCACCTCTTATTGATACTCCGAATGGGGTTTATTGTTATTATGACAGAAATAATTGCTAAAGTTTATATATTTTTATATATATATATATATATATATATATATATATATATATATTTTAAGAATCTGTAAAATGCATGTGATGTGATCAAGAAATTATACATTAAAAATGAAATAATAGAAATAAAATATATTTTTTTCTTGCCAAACATGGCAGGTAAAGTTTATAATGTATGCAAATGTAAAATATTTGTCTGAATATTCGCAATGAAATGTTAAAGGGCCATGAAACCCCCTTGTTTCAGCTGGGTGTTTTCAAACCTCTAATTTGGGGAAAAAGTCAAAAGTGGGCGTGTCCAGCTCTGTTTAGGGGGGAGTGTCGGAGGTGCAAAAGAGGGAGAGTCTGTAAAAAAATTAGCATAAAAATGGGAGTGTCGGTTTGGCCTTATGCTGATTTTCAGAGACAAAATGTGTATATACACACACACACACAGGGGAGAAAGACTGACTGTGTTTACATGGACACCAGTAATCAATTTTTTTTTGCCAAATTATTAAATGATGGACTTTAACTGTAATTTGGGTCTTTTATTCAGGAATTTCATTCATGCTCCTCGTGATAAATAAGATATTTAATTCGAGGAACTGCTCTGAGTGTGTATTTTTCATGCAATGTTTGATAACGCATTGCGAATAAGAGAGAAAAAAACCTCCGCATTTCCCCAAAAATTAGATGGGTAGGTAGCGTCAGAAAGCCGCGTGTGTTATTCCTTTCACAAAATACGGTGAAAATCCTACACGATGGTAAGTTTGATTGCGGTGCTAACATGTTTACACGTGTAATAGTTCGATACGACTAACTTTGCCATTTGGATAAACAAAAAGCACTGGTTGCTCACTTACCAAATCTGTAGAGATGGAACAATCAACACCAACTAGAGCTGTGTCTTTATTAAGAGGAGACGAGCAGCAAATCCGGATCTCACCATTTCCAGATGAGTAAAGCTCTCGGGTAAACAATGTTCCTTGGACACATTGTTGTTGAGCGTTGCACTGTAATCAAAGCTGCGCTCTCATAGAGGGAAAATTAAAACAAAGCCTTAACTGCAGCAGATTATAAAAGCAACACTGCACGCTTGTTTTGGCAACTCAACGTGGTGTCTTTCTGCCGTCTGAACACTGTAACATTAATAAATATTAATGAAGTTGCACAATAGAGCGCGCTGATTGGTTTGAACCAAGCCTTACCCATGCATTAATGCAGCACACTCGGAGACGTAATAAGGCACTCCCAGGTACACACGTCCAGTCTACACGCTGGAATACACGCTAAGATCTCATGGCCGTGACGCAGCTTCAGAAATCAAACCGGAAGTACAGATTTGCTCAATAATGGCAATTTTCACTTTTTAGTGAGATATACGTGTCCTAATGGTCTTTTTAGCATTGTGGGACACATATACGACTGTTAATAGCTTAAAACATGTGTTTTGGTGTTTCGTGACTCTTTAAAGCATATTTTGGCAGCTTTGTACGCTTTACAGATGCTCTCTAGATATGTACATCACACTAAATATGTAAAGATGACTTAAAGTGCTTGTTCAACTCTGTGTAGATCAGTATGAATGCATTAAACACAGTAATACCGCAAAACAGTGCTGTAGGGACTTGGCATGTTTCATTTAGCGAACTGCATCCAGTTGACATATTGAAAACAGGTATTTATTTTAATTCCATTGCTGATGTTTTTTTGTGATAGGATAGTGTTTCGAACAGTGTGTTAGCATGTCTGCTGTAGTGTATGTAAAATGAGCTCATATGTTGGCTGACACACAGATTTTCTTACGGCATGACATGTTTCATGCTAATCTAGGGCTCCTGTCAGAGTTTGCTTCTGGGAAACGTAGCCCTTTGGTCTCGCAGGACAGAGATTGGATTACGAAACTATTCACTGCACTTCACTCAATATTTTACAGTCGTACAGCTCCAATACGGATCCATTCACATCAGCGATCTTGTGAATACTTAGTTTGGCCAGCCTTGCTGTTAGTTAATATCGTCAAAACAAGAGAGTTGAGCTGTTTATAAAGACCATAAAATAATTATACTTAAAGGGATAGTTCACCCCAAAATGAAACTTTACTCGCAGTTTACTCTCCCTCGAGTGGTTTTTAAACCAAAATTGCTGAGTTTGGTGTATATATTTTGATTGTATTATATGATTTTGATTGTTATTATATTATAAAAATAATTATTATTATTTTTATAAAAATTATTTACCCCCCCCCCCCCCCCCCTCCAATTTTTTTTTTTTTCCTTTTTTTAAATATTTCCCAAATGATGTTTAACAGAGCAAGGAAATTTTCACAGTATGTCTGATCATATTTTGTCTCCTGGAGAAGGTCTTATTTTATTTTGGCTAGAATGAAAGCAGTTTTAAATTTTTTAATAAACATTTTAAGGTCAAAATTATTAGCCTCTAAGCTATGTGTTTTATATATTCAGACTTCAACTGTAAATCTATATAAAATGTTGCGCTTCCCGCTTTCCTATCTTAATTCGGCTTCAATTACTTCTGGGATATCTCGAGAGTTTTGCACACAAGTTTGCATTGAAGCATCAAGAACACATCAGGGAACTTTCACGCGTCGTCCGTTCTTATGTTTTGGAACTGAAATTTGGTGGTTTTACACGATTACACAAGGACGCACAATCGCTGAAGAACGCATATTGAGAAACAGCCATCATTTCATACGTCACTGCTTATAGATCAATTCGTACAAATGAGCTAATAAACTGACAAAGCAAAAATAGTTAAATTTTCTCAAGATCAAACACACCAAAACTGTTATTTTAAGTTTCATTTTTAGTTTTACTGTTTGCTAAAGCAAGGTGGCGCAGTGGGTAGTGTTGTCGCCTCACAGCAAGAAGGTCTCTGGTTCGAGCCTCGGCTGGGTCAGTTGGCATTTCTGTGTGGAGTTTGCATGTTCTCCCCGTGTTGGCGTGGGTTTCCTCCGGGTGCTCCGGTTTCCCTCACTGTCCAAACACATGCGCTATAGGAGAATTGATTAACTAAATTAGTTGTAGTGTATGTGCGTGAATGAGTGCGTATGGGTGTTTCCCAGTGGTGGGAATTCCACTGTGGCGACTCCTAATTAAAAGAAAATGAATGAATGTATTTAATTAAATGATGTATGAATAACTTAATAATTGTTACCGTCAGGCTTTATTCTGCAATAACGACCCCTTCTTTGTCTTGTACTTCTTCCCGGCATTCCAGTGATCATGCATTACTTCACAGGAGGACCTAATACTTTAGAAACTGCTCATTGGGGAAACTCGAGAATGTTCTGGAAAAGCGAGAGAACACAATACGTTCCAGCTACTAATACGTTCTTCCAGCATGACCTCACCCAACCTTTCTGTATGAAAACACACACTGGATAAATCCCCTGCTGAGATTCCAGTGGGATATTTGCACACCGGCGTTTATCCATCACTGTCACTCATCCGTATTGATTATTGATTAGAATGAGGGAGGATCGTGTTTGTGGAAGCATGTGTGATATTAGTAGCCTGGAAAGTGATCCGGACCCTTACTCAAGGCTAGGATGATGTCTGCTATAGTTAAAGAGAAGAACGGTAGAGATTGAGTGAGAAGGGAAATAAGGAGGGGTGAGATGGGAAAGGGGGATTTCTAAAACTTTCTCTAAAAACCCCCCAAATGCATGGCCAGTAACAAGCTGTTCTGATTTATTGGTCTGTCTCAGCCACCCTAAAAAGTCCTGCCCTCATATATAAACCCATATGAATGGATACTCTGGTTTGCAGTGCAGTAATTGTAAGATAAAAACTATATGTGCTCTGCTTTGAGACTTTGTGCATAGTTTTCTTTTCCTCAAAAGACTCTATTCATGCCAAGTGAGATGGAGTTCATTCACAAATTATAGTTGCGTATTGAATGACATAAACGTACACCCAAAGAGCTGTGGTGAAACACTGCTTGAGAAATCAATTCTGAGAATGCATCGCGATTTTCTCTTGAATCCCGTCTGGGCTTAGTTTTTAACATCAGATGTCGCTGCATGCTATACTGACAGCCATACTCTGCTGTTAAAAACTAGCCTATAGCACCCTCTGCTGTTAAAAAGTAGCCTAGAGCGCCATCTGCTGTTAAAAACTAACCTATACAGCGCCTTTTGGTGTTAAACACTAGCCTAGAGTACCGTTTGCTGTTAAATACTAACCTATAGATTGCCATCTGCTGTTAAAATCTAGCCTAGAGCACCATCTGCTGTTAAAAACTAGCCTATAGAGCGCCGTCTGCTGTTAAATACTAGCCTAGAGCTCCGTCTGCTGTTTAAAAGTAGCCTAAAGCGGCATTTGATGGTAAAAACTAGCCTAGAGTGCCATATGCTGTTAAATATTAGCCTAGAGCACCATCTGCTGTTAAAAACTAGCCTATAGAGCGCCGTCTGCTGTTAAATACTAGCCTAGAGCTCCGTCTGCTGTTTAAAAGTAGCCTAAAGCGGCATTTGATGGTAAAAACTAGCCTAGAGTGCCATATGCTGTTAAATATTAGCCTAGAGCACCATCTGCTGTTAAAAACTAGCCTATAGAGCGCCGTCTGCTGTTAAATACTAGCCTAGAGCTCCGTCTGCTGTTTAAAAGTAGCCTAAAGCGGCATTTGATGGTAAAAACTAGCCTAGAGTGCCATATGCTGTTAAATATTAGCCTAGAGCGCCTTCTGCTGTTATAAACTAGCCTAGAGCGCCGTCTGCTGTTAAACTAGCCTAGAACGATATCTGCTGTTAAAATCTAGCCTAAAGAGCTATGTGCTGTTAATAACTAGCCTAGAGTGCCTTTGTTGTTAAAATCTAGCCCATAGAGCGCTGTCTGCTATTAAATACTAGCCTAGAGCACTGTTTGCTGTTAAATACTAGCCTTTAGAGAGCCATCTGCTGTTAAAATCTAGCCCATAGAGTGCCGTCTGCTGTCAAATACTAGCCTAGAGCACCGTTTGCTGTATAAAAAAATAGGCCTAAAGCGCCGTCTGCTGTTATAAACTAGCCTAGGGCAGCGTCTGCTGTTATAAACTAGCCTAGAGCACCGTCTGCTGTTATAAACTAGCCTAGAGCACCATCTGCTGTTATAAACTAGCCTAGAGCAGCGTCTGCTGTTAAAAACTAGCCTAGAGCAGCGTCTGCTTTTATAAACTAGCCTAGAGTGCCGTCTGCTGTTATAAACTAGCCTAGAGCAGCGTCTGCTGTTATAAACTAGCCTAGAGTGCCGTCTGCTGTTATAAACTAGCCTAGAGCGGCGTCTGCTGTTATAAACTAGCCTAGAGCGCCGTCTGCTTTTATAAACTAGCCTAGAGTGCTATAAACTAGCCTAGAGTGCTGTCTGCTATTATAAACTAGCCTAGAGTGCTATAAACTAGCCTAGAGTGCTGTCTGCTATTATAAACTAGCCTAGAGCAGCGTCTGCTTTTATAAACTAGCCTAGAGTGCCGTCTGCTGTTATAAACTAGCCTAGAGCAGCGTCTGCTGTTATAAACTAGCCTAGAGTGCCGTCTGCTGTTATAAACTAGCCTAGAGCGGCGTCTGCTGTTATAAACTAGCCTAGAGCGCCGTCTGCTTTTATAAACTAGCCTAGAGTGCTATAAACTAGCCTAGAGTGCTGTCTGCTGTTATAAACTAGCCTAGAGCGCCGTCTGCTGTTATAAACTAGCCTAGAGCGCTGTCTGCTGTTATAAACTAGCCTAGAGCGCCGTCTGCTGTTATAAACTAGCCTAGAGCGCCGTCTGCTGTTATAAACTAGCCTAGAGCGCCGTCTGCTGTTATAAACTAGCCTAGAGCGCCGTCTGCTGTTATAAACTAGCCTAGAGCGCCGTCTGCTGTTATAAACTAGCCTAGAGCGCCGTCTGCTGTTATAAACTAGCCTAGAGCGCCATCTGCTGTTATAAACTAGCTTAGAGCACTATCTACTGTTAAAAACAATCTTAGAGCGCCGTCTGTTGTAAAATACTAGCCTAGAGCATCCTCTGCTGTTAAAAACTAGCCTAGACCATCCTCTGCTGTTAAAAACTAGCACTGGTATCCATCTTGCATCTGAGACATTTAAAATGCAAATGTTTTTTTTCCTCTGTTTCAGTCGATCCCCTGTCGCAGGATTCCCTGTCGAGCCAGCGCTGCATCTGGCACCTTCTTCGCGCGGGACAACACCGCTAACTTTCTGTCGTGGTGTCGAGAGGTGGGCGTTGGAGAAACCTGTCTGTTTGAGTCCGACGGTCTCGGTGAGTCTCTTCAACAAACTATAAATCAGGTCTTTTATCCACATGGGGTTTCTCTGAGAGGTTTTTAAAGGCATACTTCAAACGAATTTCTTCACCATTTCTTCACACTCAAGTGGTTTGGACTTTCTGGTAATGCTTTAGAATAGCGGTCCATTAAATGTTAATTACTAACATTAACTAAGCACCAACAAGCATTTATTGATCAAAGTTCAACATTAACTGATGCATAATTAACGTCCAAAGTTCTACTTGTTAACAGTAGTTAATACACTAACATGTTAAAACGAAGATGAATAAATACTGTAATAAATGTATTATTCATTGTTTGCTCATGTTAGTAAATACATGAACTAATGGACTGTTATTTTTAAGTGTTACCGAATTCCCTTTTCCTATTGTGCGTTAAACAAGCAGCCATTAGCATCCAAAGTAGGAATAAAAAAATACAATGTAAGTCAATGGCAGATTTTTCAGTATCTTCTACAATGTAAGTCAATGGCAGATTTTTCAGTATCTTCCATTGAGGTCAACTGAAAAAACTCAAACAGATCAGGAACTAGTGGAGGGAGAACTATCACTTTAAGTCTGATTCATTGCAACAACTGCAGCTCTGTGCTTCTAGATGACAGTAAATGCTCTGAGAGTGTGTGTTGGACCCTCATCAGACACAAAAACAACAGATGTCTGATTCTGCCCACTCTAAATGTTGGATGGTTAAACACATCCAGATTTTTACGTTCTGAACGATGTTTTTTAATGGTTTGGTGAACATAAAGGAGGGGTTCGGTTTTTGGAAGCATTGCGGGAACGTTACCTGAATGTTTTCTGAACACTTTGAAACATTTTTCAAAAAGTTCGATGAACTAAATTCAGTTCATTTCACCTTTATTTCTATAGCGCTTTTACAATGTAGATTGTGTCAAAGCAGAGTAACACAGAAGTTCTAGTTAACTAAAACAGTGTCAGTCCAGTTTTCAGAGCTGAAGTTCAGTTAAGTTCACTGCTGTGAGTCCAAACACTGAAGAGCAAATCCATTGATGCGCAGCTCCACAAGTCCCGAACCAAGCAAGCCACTGGCGACAGCAGCAAGAAAAAACTTCACCAATTGGCGAAAGTGAAGGATAAAAACCTGGAGAGAAACCGGGCTCAGTTAGGCACAACTGTTTCTCCTATGGCCATACTTCTTGTGCAAAGCTGTCCTCCACTCTATATCTTGGGACCATCTCTTCACAAGTCTTGAATCCCATCGATGGAGCTGCATTGTCTCTAGGGGCCTCGGGATGAGTATCCTCAGTTGGAAATAGAGAATTTAAAGAGTGTATTTAAACGAGATGCAAAAATGGAGTGTTATAAATGAAGATAGCGGTTATATAAACGTATAAGCATATGAGAGTTTCTAACACAATGTCTGGTGCATTAGGGAAGAGTTGTCAAGCCAGCTCACCTGCATGGAGCACATTCATGCATCAAGCAGTTATGTGATGCATGGTGTGTATGCTTTCTTAAAAAGATCCGTCTTTAATCTAGTTTTGAACTGAGAGAGTGTGTCTGAGCCTCGGACATTATCAGGAAGGCTATTGCAGAGTTTAGGAGCCATAAATGAGAGGGCTCGACCTCCTTTAGTGGACTTTGTTATTCTGGGTACTACCAGAAGCCCTGAATTTTGAGATCTTAAAGAACGAGTTGGGTTGTAGCGAGACATGAGGTTGGTTAGATAAACAGGAGCTTGATTATTTAAACCTGTATAGGTAAGGGGCGATATTTTATAATCAATATGAAACTTAACAGGCAGCCAGTGTAGAGAGGATAAAATTGGGGGGATATGATCATATTTTTTAGGCCTGGTATGAACTCAGGCAGCTGCATTTTGTTCTAGCTTTTTTTTTTTTATTCTAGTACATGTTTTTCGTTGTGGATGCTCCTCTAGCCACAACCCAGTATTGGGAAACACCCAAACACACTCATTCAAACACACTCATATACACTACAGCCAATTTAGTTAATCGATTCCCCTATAGCGCATGTTTTTGGACTGTGGGAAAACCCAGCCGGGACTCGAACCAGCAACCTTCCTGCTTTGAGGCGCCACTAATAACCACTGAGCCACCGTGCCGCCAAGATGCATTTCTTTGATTAAAAAAAAACATTTCAATTCTATTAGTGTGCTTTGTGGAAACTGCTGCCTTTTTGGCTGTTGTCAGTGTCACAGCTGACTGCCTGTAAATCCCAAATCTACAAAAATAAAACAACTTATTGCATTATCATTACGCTACAGAATAACCAGATTTGTAATGCTCGAAACAGCAGTTTAAGAAGAATACAGACGTTGTTCGCAGATGCATTAAACAAGTGAAAATATGGAAATGGTTTAATAAAAACCCCTGTGAAGCATTTCTGGAATGTCCCATGATGATCAGACTGTTTGTGGGTCAGTTTTCCTCTCTGCATCTCTCGAAACGGTGATGAACTCTAGAGATTCAAACTGTTTTCAAGGAGGAACGTGTGTGTGTGTGTTCAAACTGTTTTCAAGGAGGAACGTGTGTGTGTGTGCGCGTGTGTGTTCTGGTCCTGTAAACAGTGTTATGCTGCTGTGTATGAGGACTCCACGTCTGTCATGTGTCAGATCTGTTCCAGGTTGAGTTCTGCAAAAGCTCCTTTATGCTTTGCTTTCAGCACATGTCTGAGAGAGCAGGAGAGAATAACAAGTGTGCCTGAACTACAGAAAGATGCAGAGAGATGGGATGGGGTCATTAGGGAGGACAGCGCAACTCCGCTTCCGAATGCAGAACCAAACGTTTCTCCTCCCACCAGACTTGCACATGCAAAGGTGTGAAATGGGTTGACTTCCACACTCCTAGGAGATGCTTTTGTGAGAAACTCGAGCTGGAAAAGCCTTCCTAGCATTCCGTGTTGCGTTATTGTTGTATCATATATCACATACACTCCTATGCATTCATTCATTAGTACATTTTCCTTTATTAATCAGGGGTCGCCACAGCGGAATAAACCGCCAACTGCATATGTTTTACGCAGCGGATGCTCTTCCAGCTGCAACCCAGTACTGGGAAACACCCATACACACTCATTCACACACACTCATACACTACGGCCAATTTAGTTCATCAGTTATAGCGCATGTGTTTGGACTGTGGGGGAAACTGGAGCACCCGGAGGAAACCCACACCAACACGGGCAATATATGAATATGAAAATATATATTTTGTATTATTCTATATAAACAAGCACACACACTTACATAAACGCTAATCATTAGAGAACAATGGCATCTTATTGCACCATACTTTGATTCTGATGATTAATTAAAACATAATTTTTCTTCCTTTTCCCCCCTCAGAAATAGCTAAATAAGCGATGGACGCATTATATTCAGGTGGGATGTGCTGAGGTTTGATGTGGAGGCTTAAATGCATGTGTGTTGTGTCACCATCGCTCACTGCACTGAATCATGGGAAATGTAGTTTGTGTGCTCCACACTTCCATAAGAGAAGCATGTGTTGTGACCATCAGCGAGTGCACTAGTGTGGTGAATTACCGTTTCATCATCGTCATCATCACCATCATGCTGTGTTTCACCAGTTGTTTTCAGTCATTGTTTTGTTTTATTTGTGCAGTGTGTCAGATACAGTTGCTCATGTTTTTGTATTGTTTTTTTATTTCTAGTTTTACACAAACAGCAAAGAGAGGTTTGTCTGTGCCTGCTGGAGCTGGGAAGAATAGCAGCCAGGTAATAATACCATAAAACATAAATTAATATAAAAGATAACAAGCATATGGGCATAATAAAAATGTCTATTTATTTTGTGTGTTAAAATGTCATTAAATAAAGCAATAAAACAATCATTTTTAATTGGAAAAATAAATACAAAAATTTACACAATTGTTTAGTTTAATTTATGTTTTAAAATGTAAAAGAACATTAATAGTTAATCACATTTTACCTCTTAAGGCCCAAGGTGTTTTTTTGCATGCATTTTTTATTTTTCTTTGCTATTTGGGCTTATTGGAACCTAATTAGTATAAAAATATAAGTATCCTCTTTTGATATGACTTACTTTTAGGAAACAAATGATGTCCATATATGTGGACTCGTGTGGTCCCAATTTACGTGAAACACTTTTTCCTGAATGTTTTCAATGCATATTTATCATAGAACATTTTTGGAACATGTTTTGACTATCAGAGGGTAAAAAAAACTTTTTTTTTCTCCCATTTTGGACAACTAAAAATAGGGTTTGGGACATTTCATATGCTGCAAAACAGTTGCAGGATGACAATGTATGTCTTTAACAAAATATAAAACTTTCAAAGTATTTTAAGTAAACACTTAAGAGCTCAAATGTGCTGTCCACGTATGTGGACACTCAAGCCCTAGGAGGTTAAAAGGACAAATTAATAGACATTTATATTTAATTTATGTTTAAAATGTCATTTAATAAACCAAAAAAGTAAATGTATACATTTAAATTGATCTAAATATGAAAATGTATATAAATAAATCACATTTAAATAAAAAGACATCTTTTAAAAATATAAACATCTTTTAATAAAGCTTTTCTAAACTGTATTGCTTTACTGGTCAGCTTTTTGGAATCGGTAAGATTTTTATAAGAATGTAAAAGAAATGTATTTCGCTCGATGTATACAATAAAAACTCTATAATTGTAAAGTTTATTGCAAAAAAAAATGTCTCCATGTCTCCTTAATAAATGTAGTTAAACACTTATTTAAGTGTGAAAGTACTGACATTTATAATGTAAAAAAAACATATATTATTCCATCTATCCATCTATCCGTCTGTCTGTCTGTCTATTTATATATGTGGAAAAAGTGAATGTGGAAAAAGTGAAGCGCTATGAATACTTTCCAGATGCACTGTAGATATGTATTTCATTTTTTAATTTAATATTCATTTATTTTTTAATACTTCACAATTTTACTTTATATTTTTTTATTTAATTGATGCAGCATTAGTGAGCATAGTTAACATTCAAAACATACTTTCAAAAAACCTTTTATCAAACTGATCCCAAACGTCAGATTCTGAGCGTCAGTGCACCTTATATACTCTCCACAATACATCTCGCATTGCAGTAGTTTATTAACCAGTTGTATGTCAGGTATAAGGTAGAGCCACCGGGACTCATAAAGCTGGAGAAAGAGATCGAACAGGAAGAAGAGAAGTTACCCGAACCTCCGCTCTCACCTGTGACTCCTGCATCCTATTCTCAATCTCCACCCGTCTCTCCGTCCATCTCTCCATCCAACTCTCCATTCAACAAGAGCAACTCCAGCAAGAAAAGCACAGGCAAGCTCCTGGATGAGGCTGTGAGGAACCCTTCCTTTCTTCTCAGATTTATTAGGTTTTGTCAACATTTCTTCAATGTTTTCTTTGGCTTTACTGTGTTCCAGGTGAAGCACATTTCTGAAGATCCTCCCTGTAAGTGTCCCAATAAGTTCTGCATAGAGCGACAGTCACAGGGACGATATCGCGTCGGAGAGAAAATGCTTTTCATCAGAGTAAGTAGAATATAACTTTTATTTTATTAATT